TGAGGAAGTTGATGGAGCAACTCCTTGGTGTAAACCCAGTTGTCATTGTGCCCAAAGCAAATGCAGAAATAAGGATGTGCTTAGACATGAGGCAGGCGAACGCTGCAATCATTCGTGGGAGGTTTCCAATTCCCACAGTGGATGAACTGTTGCAGGGAATGAATGAATCAGCCATATTCAGCAAACTAGACCTGAGACTAGTCGAGAGAAATCACAACCTTTGCCGTTCACAATGGCATATATAGATTCAAAAGACTGATATTTGGAGTTTCCTCTGCAAGTGAGCAGTACCAACACGAAATAGCAATGGTTCTAGCTGGCATTGAAGGAGTAGAGAACATATCCAATGACATAATCATCCATGCACCTGACAGAGTATCATGATGAAAGATTGCATGCAGTACTAAGGAGATTGGAAAGCTGCGACTTGACTCTGAATGTGGAGAAGTGCCAGTTTAACATGGACAAGTTAGTGTTTATGGGCATGCTGTTGTCAGAGAAAGGCATTGGCCCTACAGCAGAAAAAGTGAGAGCAGTCGTGGAGGCAAGGGAACCTGAAAATGCTTCAGAGGTGAGAAGTTTTCTTGGTTTAGCTGGATATAGCAGCCATTTCATACCTCAATTTGCAAGTATCTCAGAACCTCTGTGCAGACTGACAAGGAAGGACGGCAAATTTAATTTTGGGACTGATCAAAAGAAAGCGTTCAAAATTCTCAAAGATAAGTTGGCTGAAGCCACAACACTGGCCTATTTCAACAAGGACGCTCCAACGAAAGTCATTGCTGATGCTGGACCGAAAGGCATTGGAGCAGTACTAGTGCAGGACCAAAGAGGAGGAATGGTTCCTGTCTGCTATGTGAGTAGGGGCTTGACAGAATGTGAACAGAGATATTCGCAAACAGAGCGCGAAGCACTTGCACTGGTGTGGGCATGTGAACAACTGCACCCATACGTGTATGGTCGGAAGTTTGATCTGGTCACAAACCACAAGGCATTGGAGGCAATTTACAGCCCTTGTTCAAAACCATGTGAATCGAAAGGTGGGTCTTGAGATTACAGCCCTATGATTTTCGGGTGATTCATATACCCGGAACGCACAACATTGCAGATCCTTTGTCACGCCTGCCGGGGCCATCGGCCAAATGTGCGACCCATGCACATGAAGCAGAGGAATATGTGAGATTCGTAGCTGTTTGTGCGACACCAAGCGCCCTGACCACCAAGGAAGTTGAGCATATCTCAGCAAATTATGTGGAATTACAGAGACTGAAAACTGCCGTTCCAACGGGTTGTTTTGATGACTGCCCTGCATACAGACATATTGCAGGTGAGCTATGTGTCATTGGCCAAATAATACTCAGAGGGACAAGAATTGTTTTGCCAAAGTCGCTGCGTGGAAGAGCGTTACAGTTGGCTCATGAGGGTCATCTTGGTGTAATAGGAACAAAACAACACCTGAGAACAAAGGTGTGGTGGCCCGGAATGGACAGGGCCACAGAAAGGTTTGTGAGGGCGTGTCATGGTTGTCAGCTGGTAGCGAGACCAGATGTTCCAGAACCGCTGTCACCCACAGTGATGCCTGAAGGGCCCTGACAAAACTTGGCAACAGACTTGATTAGGCCTTTACCTGATGGACATTCGATCCTGGTCATTGTTGACTATTACAGTAGGTACTACGAATATGCAATCCTCAAATTCACAACTGCAGAAAAAGTGATTGACAGTTTGGAGGACATTTTCAGTCCGCATGGACTTCCCTTAACAATCAGGTCAGATTGTGGGCCGCAATTCAAGTCCAGTCAGTTTCAAACGTTTTGTCAGGAAAACGGAATCCACCACATTAAAACAACCCCAAAGTGGGTGCAAGCAAATGGGGAAGTGGAAAGACAAAATGCATCACTTATGAAACGAGTACAAATTGCCGAAGCTGAAGGCCAGGACTGGAGAAAAGAGCTATGCAAGTATGTGACTGTCTACAGATCCACAACGGGCAAAAGCCCAGCAGAACTTCTTTTTCAGAGGAAGGTAAGAGGAAAGTTACCAGACATTGCAACACCCCACAGTGACCTGGAAGCTCGAGACAGGGACACAGAGCAAAAAGGAAAAGCCAAAATAAACACAGACAACAGACGGAATGCAAAGACATCTGACATAGAGATTGGAGATCAAGTGCTTGTGAGGCAAGACAAAACAAACAAGTTCATAACAACATTTCACAGTACACCTCACAAAGTCATACACAGAGAAGGTAACAGTGTTATTGTTCAGTCACCCACTGGAGCGAAATATGCTCGGAACACAACATTCGTCAAGAAGTTTCATTCAATGGAAACACCAACAGTGAATCGTGATATGAAATGTGCTCAAAAGCCAAATTCAGATGAGCAACAAAAAGGAACAGCAGAGGAATGCAAAATGAACTGTGAAACAATTCAGGAAGAGGAACAAACTCTTAAACCGTGCAAGCCTCAGCGACAAATCAAATTTCCTGAAAGACTTAGAGACTATGTTATTGAGTGACTAATGAGATTCAAATGCTGAAAAAAAGAGAGGACATTTAAGTTTAATGAGTTCCAAGGACGTTAAAGGTTGTTAGCTAAAAAAAAAAAGGTCCCAAATGAGTTATGTCATGGTTCAATGTATTTGTTTTAAAAGCATTGGGGATGTTCTATGAAGTCGTGAAGAGCTGATAAGAAGAAAAAAAAAGTTGTTACATGTCTTGAATGTTCTGAAATCTGTGAGTTGTAAGAAGATGTGAATGAGAATGTGTTAGATAGGGTAAGTTCATATTCAAGTAGAGGGGGGATGTTGTGTATTGGTGTGACGTTATCACGTAAGAGGGAGTAGTAAAAGTGGATGGGAAGTTCAATCAGGCATCTGTGTGGTTTGATCCGATATAAATAGTGAGTTTATAACAGATGTTAATTCCTTGATTATGCAGTATGTACACTAATTGCAATAATTCATATATTATATCCTGTCTGCAGTTAGAATGTCCATATTTCAGACTTTTTAGAGCTGCTAAAGAGTCAGAGCATATGACTACCTTGTCTAGCCTCACTTCTTCCACCCACTGTAGAGCCAGATATATTGCTACAAGCTCAGTTGTAAATACCATTAAATTATCTGTAATTCTCTTATTGATAGCTACCTGGTACTTTGGAAGATATACTACTGTTCCTACTTTTCCAGATTCTGGGTCCTTTGAACCATCTGTAAAAATATTCAAAATATTACTGTATTTTTGTTTGATATCTTTAGATAGGGGAAGTCGTGGCCTAATGGTTAGAGTCGGACTCGTAACCCAAAGGTTGGGTTGTGGGTTCGAGTCTCATACTGGCAGGGATTGTAGGTGGGGGGAGTGAATGTACAGCGCTCTCTCCCACCTTCAATACCACGACTGAGGGGCCCTTGAGCAAGGCACCGAACCCCCAACTGCTCCCCGGGCGCCGCAGCAAAAAAAATGGCTGCCCACTGCTCTGGGTGTGTTCACGGTGTGTGTCTGTTCACTGCTGTGTGTGTGCACTTTGGATGGGTTAAATGCAGAGCACTAATTCCAAGTATGGGTCACCATACTTGGCCACATGTCATGTCATATATATATATTAAAACTTTTGTTGAATCTGTGAGATCATTTAATTTGCCTTTTCTTTTTAAGATACATTTCATATATTCATATATATTTTTTAATATTTTACCTTATTTGTATATTTGTATAGTTGTATTTTATATTTAATCTGTATCTATCTGTATTTACAGTGGGTACGGAAAGTATTCAGACCCCCTTAAATTTTTCACTCTTTGTTATATTGCAGCCATTTGCTAAAATCATTTAAGTTAATTTTTTTTCCTCATTAACACACAGCACCCCATATTGACAGAAAAACACAGAATTGTTGACATTTTTGCAGATTTATTAAAAAAGAAAAACTGAAATATCACATGGTCCTAAGTATTCAGACCCTTTGCTGTGACACTCATATATTTAACTCAGGTGCTGTCCATTTCTTCTGATCATCCTTGAGATGGTTCTACACCTTAATTTGAGTCCAGCTGTGTTTGATTATACTGATTGGACTTGAGTAACTGTTTTTATTACATCGACGCTATTGCTTTGTCTGTCATTACAGATTGTTTGATATGTACTGAGTTTTTAATGCGTTTTTAACCTAAATCACAGCAGTGTCCATCTATGAGTAATGTACACTGTCAAACATACACAACTATAAGCCAATCATAGCAGTGTGCTTTTACTTCAGAGTCTACAATCCTCTACACCTATTCAAACAGAACTTCTGATGAGGGGGTTAAAAACAGGACAGAAAATAGCCTGTTACTTACTAAATTATTATGTTTTTGTATGTAAAAATCTTGATAACATTATGCGTGTACCTCAGAGAACAGTAGAAAATAAAAAACAGAGGCAGTTCATGACCCCTTTAAAAAAAGTCCATGTAATTAACAACTAGCAAAGTAAAATGTGCATAACTAATATGTTAAGTGGATGTAGGATAAAGAAATGTAAATGTTTACATGTGAACATATAAGAGGTGACTGCAGTTTACATTTACATTTAGTCATTTAGCAGACCCTTTTATCCAAAGCGACTTACAAATGAGGACAATTAAAATATAAGATTAAAACAGTATAGGACAAACTCACTTCAAGCATTCAAACCACATGGAAATGAAAATGAATCATCTTTTGGGTTTTCTTACCACTGAACCACATGATGAACATCATTTTGGGGGTGATTTTATGATCTCTGAAGAAGTTGAGCAGAAAGGAGAGGGGGAAGATATTTACAGCCCGACCGACAAGAACCAGAACCTGTGACAGGAAAACCCAAACAACTAAGTTCTGAATTTTGATTTAAAACTGATACATAAAGCTAATTAATAAAAAACATTAATAAATAAATGTATTAATGTATCCAAATTAATAAATGGTAAATTAACCAACTAACTACCAACCAAAATACATTAAAACACAAAAAATCATTAGGATACAATAGCAGAGATGAGACCAGTGAGTGTGCCCAAAGCCGCCGACCCAAAGAACATCTTCAGGAAGTAGCCAAGTGCCTGCATGAAGGTTTCCCAGCCTGTAGAGACATCTGAGCCAGCAAAGCCCTCCGCTGTACTGAAATACCAACACATACATCAACCACTGCTCACATCTACTAACACAATAAAGACTGAAAATGAAAGCAGAATATGATTGAATTGTTCCACATTTTAAATACATAAAACGGAAAGCTGTTTTGCAAAATGATTAACTGAATTATGTGCATCTTGTTTGTACCATCCTCTGATTATGTATTTGTCCAACAGGCCCACAGATTGTTCCTAATCTTTAACAAATAGCTTGTATTTGGTCAGCAGGGGGCATTAGAGTCACAATTACATTCCTACATGGCCACCAACATATGTCAAACACTGGAGTGTTCATTTAACAGCTTCCACCGGGAATATTAAACGCTACAAAAATTCAGAGCTTGAACCATAAAGAGATTCAGTGACTGAGCCACAGATGAGCTGTTGATAGTTTTAAACTGTCATATGTTGAGCATCCAACATCAAATGCATTCATTTGTCTCTGCTCATTTAACCGATAGGAGAAAGAATTTTAAACACTGAACAAATTACATCACAAAATGATAATAAAACCACAATAGTGGGTAGCAAGTAAGATTTTTTGTTTGTTTGTTTAATTAAATAATCCACTTATCCATAACTATCTTGACATTATGAGCCAGCCTTATGACCTGGATCAATGCATTGGAAATGCCCCCCCTTTCTTTAAAAGAACAGTTCACCCAAAGGTGAAAATTCGATGTAGTATACATGCCAGACCAGTATGTGGAGCTGTAATTCTGCCACAGAGATACACTAAAAACTGAGAAGAAGACTTGGACTATGCGTATAAACCTTGCGCGCGGTATACAAACGAACATGGAACAATACATTTATTAATCTGTGTTAATGTTAGTTAATAAAAAGACAATCGTTCAGTGTTTGTTCATGTTTTTGTTGCTGTTACGTGACGTAGCGCTGTCTGACTCGGGCCGAGACGTGGGCTGATGACGTCATCGTTTCAGAAAATATATGGATTCGCTGTCCACACGAAAACGCAAGGGCGGCGTTTTCAGATTCATCCACTCTGGGACCCGGTTTCGTATCGGTTTCACTCTCCCAAAACGCCCGATCCGTCTGGACGAAACACCTATACGATACAAAATATAGCTCCGTGTGGACGGGGCCTAAATGAAGAGATATGATGAGCCAGCAAATGAGATGAGATACGAGACAAGACGTGAGTGGAAAAAAGGGATGAAACAAAATAGATTAAACTAAATCAAACTAGAGGAGAGAAAAAGAAAAATAAGAGACACATGGAGACTGAAAAAGGTCGAAACACATATTACAGCCATTGCAAAGCCACACTGGGGTGCATTTCCCGTACAACGACGTAACTCACTGATTAACCACCATAGTACAATGCATTGTTGTGGAAACTAACTAGTCACGACTGTTTCCTGAACACGGTCGCATCTCCGTCGTTTGAACCACATTAGTTCAACGATTTAGAACCGTTGTTATGACGTCACACGCATGTGGTGGAGTAATAACTTCTGCTAATTAACTGATTCGAGATCTCTGAGATGCTGCTTTATTGAACATGGCACTTGATGACTAATTTACTATGTTTGGTTCCCTGTCATTTTGCTTTATTTGATGTTTGATTCATCGCGGGGTTCCTCTTACGTTCCCCTAGGCATTATGCACATGCGCACTCTTCAAAAACGGCGCTTATTGAGGACGCGCTAAAATTTATCGACTAAAATGTATATATATTTAAATAGAATGGAAGATATAGATTGTACTGCATGTTAACTTGCTTATTGTGCCCAAAAGCATAATTTATTTATTAAGTCCATATGTCTTACTAACAAGAAACAGTGCTTCTAACCACAGGTCAAGAGCTGTAGTTCCTACCACGTGAGTTTGCGACGCTGTTTGCGAATGTTTGTTTGAACTACACTCTTAAAAATAAAGTTGCTTCAAAAGGTTCTTCAAGCGATACCATAGAAGAACCATTTTTGGTTCCACAAAGAAGCATTCAGTCAAAGGTTCTTTAAAGAACCATCTCTTTCTTACCTTTTTATAATCTGAAGAACCTTCTTTCGCCACAAAGAACCATTTGTGAAACAGAAAGTTATCATGTCTGAAAACAAACACAAGTAATGGAGTTCATCACTTAAACAGGCACTGATATTCCATACAGAGCACAAAAAAAACATAAAAAACACAAAAATTGTTTTTAGACAAAGTTTTCTTAATTAGCTAAAAATGGAAGAGTGCAGAAACATAACACCTCTTACATCTTAACAAAATATAAAATAAAAAAAGAATGGCAGACATTTAGGCCAAAGTGAGCAATGATAAAAATCAATCAATCAATGACAAAGTCATTTTATCTTTGTTATTAGAAAATAAGAACAAAGATATACAATACAAATTGTGCTTTATTTTCAGGTACAGTATTTAGCAGTAACATTCAAGCAGGGGCGGACTTACCCATTAGGCAAAGGTAGGCAACCGCCTTGGGCCCCCAAAAGCCAAGGGCCCCCTAAAATGCTTTTCATATATGCACATTAAGCGCGGACACGCGAACGTATGCAGTTTACGGTGTTTATTACCACAACAACCGTTCGAGTCTGTGGCGCCTGCAGGTGTACGGCTGTACGCATTGTGAGTACCGTGAGCACTCAGACTGATCTGAGATTTGCCCCGCAAACATTTCAGCAGTTATTATAGGCCTGTGTGTCCCGTATTTCTGTCGACTGAACCCATGCCGTTAATTATCAATTTATCAGTGTTTTGCATGCCAAAGTCAATTTCTGCATAGAAATATTACGCCAAATAGAAGCAGAAAGTCATGCTACACGCACTTTCATGAGATCGGTTTAGCCTACAACAATTCATTTGTTGGCTATTTTACAAATGGGAATACAACGAATTCATGACTATGTTTACATTCAAGCTACCCATAAAGTTTATCGTGAAAAGTACTTTAAAAGCATCTGGAATGCAATACAGTAATTTTAAAGCTGTTTTTTTAAAGCATTTGCTGCATGGATAAAAAATATAAATAATTAACATATCATATGAAATTGCGTTGCAGAAAATCCTTTACATTTTAAGGTATTCAGAACAGAGCAACATAAAAATCAGAAAAAGCAGCTATACAATTATAGGAAACAGTTTTACATATATGTCATTATAATTAGTGTTTTATTTTTTAACTGTACGGAATTATAAAATAAAACGCAAATTATAATCGGGCGATTCAATTATAGTGATGAAAAAATGACTCGCTCTTCACTGGATGTGCCTTTAGAGAGAAATGCACAGAATTACATAATGAAAGAGTTTGAGTCTATTTTCGATTTGAATTATTTCATTTTAAAGTAGTAATTTAAAGCTTTCTATATATTTTGATCATGTCTGAGTTTAGGTTCATCATTGTGAAGCGCTCCTGTTCAAGGCGCTGCATCACAGAAATAAATTCTATTTTAATGTATATTAAAATAGGATACCACTATTAGAAATTGCAATAATATTTCACAATATTACTGTTTTTTTCTGTATTTTTGATCAAAGAAATACAGCCTTGATAAGAGACTGTATTAAAAAAAAACGTTGCAAATCTTACTGATCCCAAAATTTTGACCGGCAGTGCACATCTGTGCTGGTGTCTTAGAACTTTTAATTAAGTGAAAACTGAAAACCGTAGTCTAGAAATGTCAAAGGACACCATTTTAAATTCTGATTGGTTTGTGAAATGAAAAGCCGACTACAATATTGAGTTGAAATACTTAATACGTGTCAGATTTGCACTGTAAACCATACAGAGGCTAAAGTCTATATTTTTGTTTAGTTTTGTGACATCACAGACAGATGACAAAAGCATCCTTACTGTTCATGAGGAGCAGCCTGGGGAAAATGAGCCCAGCAATGAAGGAGTTTGCACTATTCTGGAGCAAGATTTGGGGGACAGCAAGAACAGAAGCTCTGGAATCTCAGGTAGGCATCTATATCCAACATCTACATTTGTAGATGAATGTGCAATTTGAACATTTTCTCTGTATTCTAGTATAGAGTTGAAGGTTTAAAGATTAAAATGGTAATTAACATCTGGTTTGTGGTGTAATGTATGCATGCCATCAGTGCAATTTATTTATGTTCTTTGGGTGTGAATTCAGTTTAGGATGTTTAAAAAATAACATCATATATCCTGAAGTAGGCAGCTGGATATTATTAAAGTGAACATCTGGCTTTTTTTGTCTATAGAGCATAACAAAATATTATGTCTTGATGCTCATAAAAATTAGGCTTGTATATAATTAGGAAACAAATAGTAAGACTAATAGATTATAGCTTGTGGGACTTTTTTTACATGGTTGCATTTTTAGAAAAATCTCTGAAATCTGTTTGTCATATGCTTTCAGAGAATAGATATCAGGTTATCACTTAGCTGTCAACAGAATGAGATTCCTCACAGGCTTGACGTTATGCTTTTTACTAAATACAGACCTCATCTTAGTTTCATTCAAACCACGATTCCTTCCTGCGTGGCTCAGTCTTAAGGAGATAACTGTAATGTCTATTTGGTGATTTGTGCATGGCTGTATACAAAATCTTCTCATCATTCAGTAAATATGCATTTCTTCAGAAACCTTCACTGTGGAAGAAGCAGTTGAAGCTATTGGTTTTGGAAAGTTTCAGTGGAAGCTGTCTATGCTAACAGGAGTGGCATGGGTAAGAAATTCAGCATTATATAGTATTTTAAACGCAAGTGATGTTTACTGAACAAATAGCTTAAATTTGTTTGGTTCGTTCAGTTTACTTAAAAACTTGTTTCATGATAATTCAAACTCATATGTTTCATATTTGCGTGCAAAGATGGCCGATGCTATGGAAATGATGCTCCTTAGTATTGCAACTCCTCAACTGCGCTGTGAGTGGAGGCTCTCCAGCTGGAAAGTGGCATTCATAACAGCGGTCAGTATATTCACTGTTAAACACTAACATGGTTAAACAACTCCTGGGGTTACATTTGGACATAGCTTACGGTAG